GAAGAAGAAGAAGAAGAAGAAGAAGAAGAAGAAGAAGAAGAAGAAGAAGAAGAGGAAGAAGAGGAAGAAGAAGAAGAAAAACAAGAACAAGAACAAGAAGAACAAGAAGAGCAAGAAGAACAAGAAGAAGAGGAAGAACAAGAAGAAAGGAATAGGCCAGCAGCAGGACGATAAGGATGATATGAGGAAGAGGAGGATAAGGAGGAGGAAGAGGAGGAAAAGAAGTAAGCAGGAGAAGGCGGAAAAAGTAATGGTTGTGATGATGGAGAAGGAATAGGTGGGAAAAGGAGGGGGTGCAGAAGTAGGTTGGAGTAGAAGTAGAGAATGCCTGCTATGTCAGAGTGAGTCGCAGAAAAGAAGTGAAGTGAACAGCGCACGCTGTGAACTTTAGTCTATGAGTAATTGATGATCGCAAGGTGGCGAATTCCTCCCATACCCGCCCAGGTCACACACATGATGACATTAAGGCATCACGCAATGAGACAAAGTCCTTGCATTTTGGCGAGTGATATGTGAATAGTTTTGACAATTAATGTGAATCAGTGAGTCTTGCATCATATGGCAGTAGAGGCAATTTTTGCTAGAAAAATAACCACAAGCAAGAAGACTTAATTGTATGTTAGTTAAAAGCTTGATCCGATCGGAAATATTTCATTAGGAACAGTGTAACATCATCTGTTTCAAGGTACTAGGTAGTCTGTAAAGAGTGATTCAAGTACCATTCTTGTACTAAAAAGACACTCACGCTATGTTTCAGATGAGTTTACACACAAAAACGAGAGCAAATCGCCAAAGAAAGTATTCAGCCAAATGTTTGGTTGTGCATAACCTCAAATTATTTACTCATGGATGAAATAAGAAAGTAGCTCTAAAGGTCCGCCCCTTCAAGTACTTCCACGGTTGTCAAAAGTGATAGAACCGGTGGAAAGTGGTGTGTGGAGGAAATTGGTGAGTTAATGCCTTGTTCCATTACTCAAGATGCTCTCCCTACTTTTGAAGTGCACGTACGGCGTATGGAGTTGTGCCTTGAAAGTATTCCCAATCCGCCTATTTGCTTTCTCTGGACGAGTTAGCTATTACCTTTGCACCGTTTTGTGATAGAGGAGGTGGGGACACAGGGGTTGCCACGGCTCTCAAATAAACATCACCAAAGGACCAAATTAGTTAGAAATGTAAACGATATAGCTTGCGTCTAATGAAAATCTCTTTGGTGTGTGAATATTGGAGGTTAATTTAGGACTCCTCACTTTGCTAAGGAAAAATCTCACATTTCCATTATTTGCCCAACAACCCACTTCAGATGTAAAAGTCGTCAGCACCTCTTCTCAATGCATATTTCTGGTCAGAAAATCTTTTAATGTAGACTGAATAAGAGAAAAGACTGTCAAAAATAAGTTGGAGTCTCAATTACTTGAAAGTTTTGATTGCAACACTAACACACAATATAACCTACCTGATTGGACTCAAGAGATTCGGGGTTTTTATCGTGTTTCCTCTTTAAAAGGGACGAATTGGTTGTTTAAAAAAACCCAACTTTCTCAAAACTACCCGCTATGCGTTCAAGTTTTCGAATTTAAAAGGAAGGAAGTTTGGAGGCTTCCAGTTGCTCATGAACCCTTATTCACTTGAAATAAAACATTGAAGAGCGAACAGATTAACAATTTTTTCCCCCATTATTTTGATAAAAGTCAACAAAGAGACATGAAAGTGTATTGAGTAACTATTTCCCAAGCAATCTTGAGCTTACAAAAATTGCGGAGCCACGCATTTTTTATTCAGCACCATGCATTACATACCCTGGAAATCTGTATAATATGCTTTGTTATTGTCTAAAATGTTTACCTGAGTATATAATTGGAGTTGGGGACAAAAGGTAACCTTTTATACTAAAATAAAAGCTTTTTATATGAGCTAAGAAATCACAAACTCTTCTTCTTAGGTGGTCGTTGGCTACACCGGTAATTCTTTCTTCATTGCTCTCCTTCTTTTGTTTCTGCCTGTCTATATATCTTGCTATTTCCCAGCACTAAATGACCCTTAATGTGTCTTTATCTAAACTTAAAATTAAGTAATGCTTTTGTGTAGCTTCACTACATTCTTCCTGCATTTTGTTTTTGGAAGCATCTATCCACAAGAGTTCACAATTCTTTATTGTTTTACAGCTGACCCCATCTGTACTTGCCCAAAGGTAAGGGAGGGCATTTGGCAACTCAACTTAAAGAAGATATAACAAGCACTCCCTGGTTCGCTTTGTGGCAAGGTCAACTGTTTTTCAACGTTTGGAAAAGCAAAGTCTGTGTGGCTCATAGGTGCACAGGTAGGATTAGTGCAGCAATGGATGAAGAGATGATGCTAATGCTTTTTTACTGGTGTTGGGGTTTGGTGGCCCTTGTATCAAAATTAAAGGCACTTTCAACTCAGATTTGTTATACAAAAGGTGTCACCTAGGAAAGATCTACGTTCGTTACGCCGTCTTTGATTGGAATTGTCAAGACCTTCTTATAGTGTATCTGAAAAGAAGTGTTTAACCTCATAGAGTTTTGGCATAACAATTTTATGCGGTAACAAGCATACCTCTGCAGCTAAGTCGAGACTGTTGCCCTGTTAAGTATGATCAAATAACGGGCGGGTTGTGAAAGACTTCTTCGTGATAAACTATGTATTCATAAGTAGCCTTCCGTCTCTGCTTTCAAAACTTTCAAATTTCTATCAAAATCTTTTGAGGCTGAAGATAATGGATTTTGTTCTGAAATACTAATAAACATGCAGATCTTGGAATTAGAAAATAAAAAAAGTAGCATTGCATTCCCTCCCTTTTTCTCTTTTTCTCTCTGTCTGAGGAGCAGTTTTGCTCTTTTATGGTACAGTTTGTCTGGATAATTAAGCTAATAGACCGCAAAAGAGAGCAAGGGAGAGGGACATATAGAGAGACAGACAGAAAGACAGACATGGAATCTAAAGACCGCAACGCCCGTTGATGTGACTGTATCAGCTCTTCCGCTTCCAAAAAGGCATTCAGAAGTAGATTTGTTCCCCCTATTTTATGTCCGGCAACACTTCCCAAGATTTATCGTATCCCGTAGAATTAGATGTCTGCATTATCTTTCCTATTATTGCTTCACCTGGAAAACTTTTACAATAGGATGATGGGAAAAGACAAAGATAATGTAAGGGCTTTGAGAGCGTTAGAGAGGAGAAATAAATGGCCAAACATAATCGCCACTGTCTGTTTCAAATCTTGTACATTATGCTTATGGTTAGTTATTGCTTCTTCACCTGTGAACAACGTGAAGCGTCAAGATAATATTATCACCGGGGTTTGATTTTTTCTTGATGAGCTGTAAAATCTAGTCTTAAACAGTTTTATTCTGCTAGAGGCTCTAAAAAGACTTGAAATGATCAACATGTGTGCGTATATGAATGCGTGTGCGTATTATATATATATATATATATATATATATATATATATATATATATATATATATATATATAAAGTATAGGGCTAATCGGGCAAAGTAGAACACTCAGGTCTTGAACATGTAATTGCAAAAAACCTAACAATTACACTCAGATGCTTACAAAAAGAGAGTTGTATGAGTATATGTGTGTGTGTGTGTGTGTGTGTGTGTGTGTGTGTGTGTGTGTGTGTGTATGTGTGTGTGTGTGTGTGTGTGTGTGTGTGTGTGAGAGAGAGAGAGAGAGAGAGAGAGAGAGAGAGAGAGAGACAGAGAGAGACAGAGAGACAGAGAGACAGAGAGAGACAGAGAGAGACAGAGACAGACAGACAAAGAGAGAGAGAGACAGAGAAAGAGAGACAGAGAGAGGGGGAAAGTGTAGACAGACAGATAGACAGACAGATAGACAGACAGGCAGACAGTGAAAGAGAAATTTTTGCGCATAATATACGCTACACAGTTAACGTACAAAAAGCATAAAGAACATACTACATGTGCACACACAAGTGCGTATGGACATTTATACAGAAAATATTGAAATCTGAGAATGCCTGTCAGGACAAATTAATGTCAAGACAAACAAATGAACAAACCTGACAGCCGAGGTATCACGTTCCTTCATCAGATTGTGTCATGTTATTGAGGTAAAACCGCAGGGGATGCATGACATCATTTTATCTCACGTCACTTACGCTGATTACAACAGCAAAATTAATCAATTGAATTAAGTAATTTTGATGTTTGGGGTCCTTTACTCATTTTGGAAGTAATTTTAGATAGCAAACAATCATAAAATGACCGGCATAAGTGATGTAGCGGTAAGGCCCTTCGCTGTCCCACGCAAGAGAAGCGAGTTCGATTATCGAGTGGTGAGAAAATTTGTATCAAGTATTTCGGTCTCTCTGCTGGCGTGTTGTATCCTTCTCATAACGAGCTGGCCCTGGCAGGCAGGGTCGGAAGCCTGTCTCTTAAATGATCTAACTTGTGTCAATAGAGGCGTAAAACACCTGCATTAAAAGCATGAAACTCCGAGCTCTGAGGCGCCTGTATTAAATATAGATTTGAAAAAAAAATTTATCTATATGTGAAAAGAACCCTGAAAGGTTACAAACATTATGACCCAAACATGGCAACAATTTACAATGCGCAAACGGGTGTTTCAAACAAAATCACAACGGTGCACAATCGTGCAAACGGAAGATATAACACAACAGAAGGAAGGCAATTTTTAAAAAAATAGGAAGTGAAGTGTAGTTTACACTAATTCCTTTGTAGTATGAAGTACGGCTGTGTTCAGGCTAGTCGCCTATCTGCCTTTCATTGTATTCCATCGGAGTAAGATTTGAAAACAATATTTGATAAAGCAGAAAGGCACGAATTTGTAAATAAGGTCGCTTACATGGCTCATCAGTATTTTGGAGGGAGAAAAGAGGTTTAGGAAACAAGGTTAACAAAGAACAAAGAGAACGTGAGACTTTTTATATTACCTTGCAGATGTTTTGCTTGGACTCAGAATTTTAGAAACACGGATTGAGATTTTGAAAGCTTAACATGTCCTTATTAGACGCTCGTATCTATCCTCCGATCTTCACATCCAAGTTTCAGTACTGATCGTCTCTGATAGAAGTCCACAGGTGATGTGACGTGTTCATTCTCAATAACAGCATCATCAAAATCATCATCACATGTATTCTCCCTTCATTTGAAATACAATGCACATTCAATGATTCTACCAAAGTTTGTACACTCCAATACAAGCGTAAACTTACTTTTACACTTCTTTGATTCACAGAATTTTGCAAAGCATGATTTAAATGGTAATTTTTGGTGACCATATCTCGGGCAACTCTTACTGTAGACGAAAAATTAATGTGTCAAATAATGCAGAATCTATTTAGGTTTAAATCAGTATGCTGCATGAGTACCTATATAGTAGGCTTTAACACGATATATACTATTTTTTGTTTTCTTTTTAATTTTGTTGTTGTTGTTGTTGTTGTTGTTGTTGTTGCAATATTTCAGAGGCTTAGTGTCCAAAGCTCCGGGACTGCTGGTGTCGTGAGAGCAAAATGCTGGGACATCACCACGAAATCGTCGAGAGCCCGTCGAAGACAGTCTACACAGACTACACAGATTGGAACAACAAACACCCGTACCCTGTATGGTCCACAGACCTGGAGAAAACTCCCCCGAAATTACACACTGTGCATATCCCGGGAGTGCAGGCGTGGAGCGTTGAGGAAGTGAGTGCTTTTAACCCCCTTTTGCCCTCAACAAGGAGTACTCGTATTGATATGAATGTTTTTATGGTGACACTCTATAGTGTTGTTAAACAGGTAATGTACAAAAACATTTGAAGTCAGTTATATGATTTAACAATAACCGTTTCTCCCCATACTTCTAAAACAACAAACGAAACAAACCCAACAGTAAAACATGCACGGGCGGCTCGTCCATAGAGCATGGCCGTGCACTGCCGCCCAAAAAATTTATTGCGCACAACACCCACAAAGAGACAACAAAAGAACCTTTACCATTCACCATCCAATCAGTTTTCCGCACAAGTTCCTCGCCAGAGCCTATTCGTTCATTACAATAATAATATATACAACTGTACTACATCTACTATACCACCATATCAAGTTCTTGTGCTTCCCCCTTGTAAAAAATAGCATGTTCAGTGGTGTAATCTATCTCGGAAGATGCTCTACGGGCCGACCCAAACAACGATGATGCTTTAACCGAGTTTCTTAATTCATAAATATTAATAAGTTGGCACAATCACAATGTGTGCCAGCCGAATAAAGCCCAGAGAGGCAGTCTAGAAATAACCCAATTTCAGACCAGTTCACGATAACCTACACAATTCAATGCCCGTATTATGATAGCTTTGGAGCAATCCACCGGAGTGCTCACAGTGGTGTGCGATTGGTCCATTTTCTTGCCATTTATATATCTAGCCCCACCTCTGTAACCTTGAACTTGAGCGAGGTCAGCATGACGTAATTAGGTCACTGTGTTGGAAGTTGGAATGGCGTAGTGGTGAAAGTTTTATTACTCGAGAGTGTATTCCAATGCAGGATGCTTGAAGTTGATTACAAATAAAATCAGTTCACCAAACAAAGTAACAAGAAGAGAGTGAAATTATTAGGTCCTCACCAACCAAAAGATATCAAAATAATACTACCAACAAAAAGTGGAGTGGCTTACAGTCAGCGTTAGCAAATTATACTCATTGTAGGCCTACTGTTTTTCTTTTCTGCTTTTTAGAACTGAGGACCCCAAGTAGTCTAATACAGGTTTTACCGATCTTGTCCATGTGGAACAACGCATTAAAGTCACGAGTCATCAAGAGCGCACGTTAAACAATGCCGTTAAGTATCATACTTTTTGACGAAGCTAGTCGTTGGTTATTGCATTGCAACGTCTCACAATAACGAACTGGTGAGAAAGAACAGGCACGTTTTGTGAACGGTTATCAAGTTATTTTGTTCTGTGAAACTCACGAACTCGCCCTTCGCGGTCATGAAAAGGATGATTTGTAAGGGAACAGAGATATTAATTTTCGCTAACGCTATGCAGTCTATTCGACATTTTTTGCCCACTCTACAAAATGCATCGGCTTTCTCAGACACGTTTGTCACCGGAATATTCCATGGCCGTCTGAAACAAAGTGGAATTGACAGTCTCAACTAATTAGCACAGTCTTCATTTGGAAAGGAAAGATCCAGCTTTGTCTTGCAGAAATTCAGTCTGAGCAGCAGGACGATAATTCCATCCACGATGGTATCCTGAATGTATTAAAGAGCGAAACATTGCTCTTCTTTGTGCATTTTTTCAACAAAGTGTTCAAGCACGTTTCCGCTGTTTATGGATCCTCTAACACAGAAGTACAACGTCCATAGCAACCTAACAAGCTCTAGACACGTTTAGAGTAGCCGTCGATGAAATTAGAAACAGTATACGTGTTCTATCAACAAAACAGACCACAGAAAAACATGCTTCCAAGAGACACAGACATTACAACACCAACGAAATTGCTGCAAAGCAGGCCTGTGACATAATAGTTTCTCAAATTGTTGACTGTTTCTTGAAGCAAAATGAATTCAACGCACTATCAATCTTCGACTCCTCTAAATTCCATGACTACCAAAAGTCATTCCCTGCAGTTCTTTTGGGATCGTTTACAGAAATATTACTGTTTTGCATAAAATCAAGTTATAAACAGAATTATAAGTATAACATTGCAATTAAATATTTAAGTCTGCTCAAGGTCGTACAACCCAGGGCCTTTATTCAACTCTGAAGGACTGCAAACTCGACACAACATTTAGAGAAGAATGCAAAATCCTAGAAATCGCGCTGGCGTTTATGTTGATCCACAAGGTTGACAGCATGTCCAACTTCGTCAACAGAATAATGGACACTTTTGCTTTAGCAAAAGAACGAAAGGAAGACTTCTTCTTAAAACAGATATTCTCAAACAGGTAGGATGATGAAAACATCCATTTACCCTGCCCTTGACTATCTTCAACTTGCTTTAACCTAATTGTGCACGCCCACTTTTAAGACCCACGAGCCGCCCCTGAAAACATGGTACAAATATGCACTGGTAAGCATTCACATGCCATATGAAACAGCTGTAGTAAAGGAGTAAGTAAGTTTATTGCTTCAACACTTTTGTCTGACCCCGTTTAAAACAAGATAAAATAAAATCGCCCTGTATATCTTCTCTGATCTATGCATACTGGTCTAAAAGTTTGATGACCAACAGAATCTAAATGCCCATTCTTAAAGGTTATTGTAAAACTAAGGTTCTGACACGTTTTCTTTATTGTAAGCCTACAGGGGGTCCAAAAAACAAAAGGGGATTTACAGCATACACTTAAAACATTTAAAAGTTGACATATTTTCCTAAACACCACTCTCAAAGAATACTGAGAGTATAACGACCTACCACACAAATTACTCAAAACAGTAGAAGAACATAGAAATAAAGATGTACCAAACGTTTCAGAACATATTTAACTTTGGAAAGAGTTTAGCCGTGAACAGAAGCCTATAAAATGCATAAACCTTTGGTAAATCACAATAATATGTTGGTTCTTAGGACCAGGCATGCACAAAACTGAGATAATAACCAAAACTTGAAGTGTAACGATCGACCGTACAAGTGACTCAAAACAGTAGGAGGACAAAGAAATAAAGATGTAGCCAGCTTTTCAAAACACATTTAGGTTTGGGTAGAGTTTAGCCGGGGCAAAGAAGCCTGTGGTAAATTACAATAACGTGTTGGTTGTTATAAGTAGTCTCGGGCAAAAACTAATAGATTGTAACCAATACTGGGAGTGTAACGACCGACTGCACATGTGACTCAAAACAGTAGGATGGGAAAAATAAGAATGTTTCTAGCTTTTCGGAACACATTTTATTTTGGATAGAGTTTAGCCGTAGGCAGAAGCATATAAAATGCTTGCATCTATGGTAAAACACAATAATGGGTTGGCTGTCATAATTAGACACGCACAAAAACGAATATACTATAAGCATTACTGAGAGTGTAACGACCGACCACACATGTTACTCAAAACAGAAAGAGGAAAAACAAATAAAGATGTAACCAGCTTTTCTAAACTCTTTAGAATTGAATAGAGGTAAGCCAAGGACAAAGAAATAAAGATGTGACCAGCGTTTCAGAATACATTGGGTTTGCATAGAGTTCAACCGTGGACAGAAGCCTATAAAATGGTAACACCTATGGAAAAACACAATAATGTGTTGGTTGTTAGAACAAGGCAAGCAACAAAAAAAACAACTAATGAATTATAATTGATACTGAGAGTGTGACGACCAACCACACAAGTTTTCTCAAAACAGTAAGAGGACACAGAAAAAAAAATCACCTTTTAAGAACACATTCAAGTTTATATAGTGTTTTAGAACATGTAGTGAAACAAAATAATGTGTTGGTTGTTAGAACTAGTCAGGCACATAACAGATACGGAGAGTGTAACAACCTACTGCATAATTTACTAAAACAGTAGGAGGGGAAAGAAATAAAGATGCTTCCAGCTTTTCAGAGCAAATTTACTTCTGGATAGAGTTACGCCGGGGACAGAAGTATATGAAATGCTAGCACCAGTGCTAAAGCACAATAACATTTTGGTTGTTAGAACTAGGCATGCACAAAAACCAATAGATTATAACCGATACTGAGAGAGTAACAAGCAACGGCATCATTTACTCAACATGTTAGGAGGACAAAGAAATAAAGATGCAATCAGATTTTCAGAACATATTTAGATTTGGATAAGGTTTTTCCATGGACAGACGCCTATGAAATCCGAGCACACAGGCTAAAACACACAAATGTTTTCGCTCTTATAGCTTGACATGCAGTATAACTCATAGATTATAACCTATACTGAGTGTGTAACGACTGACCGCGCAAGTTACTCAAAACATTAGGTAGACAATGACCTAAGGGTGCTTCCATCTTTTAAGAACACATTTAGGTTTGGATAGAGTCTAGCCGTGGACGTAAGCCTATGAAACGGTAGCACCTACGGTAAAACACTATAATGTGTTGGTTATTAGAACTAGACATCCACAAAAAGTAATAGATTATAACCAATACTGAAAGTGTAACGACCAACCGCATATGTGACTCAAGACAGAAGAAGAGGAAAAAAACCCAGATGGTTTTAGCTTTTCGGAACACATTTACCTTTGGAGGATTTAGCCACTGACAAAAGCCTACAAATTAATGCTAGCACCTGTGGAAAAAAACCAACAATGTTATTGTTTCTACAACTAAGCATGCATAAACATTAATAGAATATAACCAATACTGAGGGTTTAACGACCGACCACAACATTTAATCTAAACATTACTTAGACTGTAAAGATCGACCTAAATAAATGTTATTAAAAAAAGAAGGACAAAGAAATAAAGATGTCTCCAGCTTTTCAGATCACATTTAGGTTTGGATACAGTTTACCTGTGGACAGAAGCCTATAAATGTTAGCACCTGTAGTAAAACACAATAATGTGTTGGTAATTAGATCTAGACATGCAGAAAAACTAAAAGATTATAACCGATATTGAGAATGTAACGACCGACCGTGCATGTTAATAAACAGTAAAAGGACAAAGAATTAAAGATTCTTCCATCTTTTCAAAACACATTTATATTAGCATACACTTTAGCCGGGCAAAGAAGCCTATAAAATGCTAGCACCT